TACGTCCTCCGTGTGTCCTGCAATCTGCCTGGTTTGTTTTGTAGTCCCACATTAGTTAATGTTGTAATCCTTGTGTTCAGCAGTAAAGCTGCTTTTGAGTTTACTTTTTGCCTGCCCGACGCGTCTGTGTTTGGGTCCAACGCTGCCTGCTTCACACACAGTTTAGTACATTTCCCTCCGTTGAAGGCAGTCTGATATGGAGAGAGCGTGTCCATAAGTGTGATTATCTGTTAAGCGAGGTTTGGACGTTCCAAATCTGGAACCAACCACCAGTCCGGGCCTGAGTAACCCTCATCACTGGGATCACTCTCACACAAACTCAGACCACATAATGTACTAGTATAATATATTCTCCTCGGCATTCCCATGATGCACTGAGTGTTTCTTCTTCGCTTCTTTTGTCCTGTCTTCCTCCTCTCACATCAAACCCACTGTCACCAAAGTGCTTTCTCACAGTGGGTCATCTGATTGTTGAGCTTTCTCTGTATTATTGTGTTGACTTTACAATATAAAGTGCCTAAAAGCAGCTGTTGTGATTTGATGCTATAAATCAGATTAAGTTGACTGAACAGTTTGTGGCTGGCACAGATCACCACTCGGGTTCAGAGTTGGCAGACTGTTTATAAGGTGACATTCAAACGTTTATACTAAGTCTACATATAAGAAAAGCATTTCATGAGCTCAAATTACAAACATTTCTTCATCAATAACTTAATGAGAAAAACTGAATGTTGGAGACCTTCAGGGCCTCAAACACGTTTCATAGATTTCATGGTTGATCTTAGGTTTGATTAATAATCGTGGTAACAGATGGACTCCATCAAGACCATGCGTGTGTCAGGTTTGCTCAACTGTTAACATGTTTTTCATTTATGTTATTACATAATAATGTTTTTTACTTTCTGTTTTGTTTTAGAATTGTTTCATGACTCTGTTCGTGTGTATTTCTGTATTTTGCTCATGAAGAACACGTCCGATCTCAAATCTGCAGGCGCAAGGAGCTGCAGAGGCGGAACAAAGCTCAGTGCGCTCTTCTGCCGGAACTTGACTGTGTGACACCAGGCGGAAGTATACAAAGAAGAGGCGGAAGCCCCGTTTTGTGAGCAGAGAGTGTGTTGTTGTGTGAGCTGCGGCAGCAACGATGCCTTCAGTTCAGTATCTGAGAGAGTTTATCAACGAGCGACTAACTGCTGCTGCTGAACAAATATTCTTGGAGTTTGAAAAAACGATCGTCCAGTACGAGGAAGAGATCGACCGTCAGCGCAGACTGCTGGATATCACCTGGAAACCCCAAATCAAGCTGCACACAGCAGGTGAGTCTGTGTCTTCATCTAAAACCTGCCTTTAAATCACGGAGTCCCTGTTTGACACGGTTATAACCTCCGCTGTGAGCAGCATGTGGCCGCTGTCACAGCAGCTAACTGCTGTTTGACGGCGTGTCGGGTAGAGGACACAGGAACCAGTCCAGTTAGCTTTTACTGCAGAGCCTCGTTACTGATTAAAAGGAGCCATATTTATGTTTCTGTCCTCCAGACGTCCCACACGAACATGTCTGTAAGGAGGAGGAGGAGGTTCTCCCTGAGCAGCAGCTCTGGAACCAGGAGAGGAGCTCCAGTGTGGAGCAGGAGGAACCAGAAGCTCCACAGATTAAAGAGGAACAGGAGGAACTGTGCAGCAGTCAGGAGGGAGAGCAGCTGGGACTGAAGGAGGAGACGGATACCTTCATGGTGACTGCTGCTGAGGAAGGAGGGCACAGTGAACCAGAAGGAGACGAGGAGCAGCTCCTCTGTCACAGCTCTGCTGGAGCTGAGAGCCAGGATCAGGAAGGAGGCAGGAGTGCAGACTCGGGACCGACTAGAATTATATATCGAATTCACTGTAACAATCCTGCACACGCTCGCATGTTAGCGCGTCAGAAGAACTCTGACGCAGGTAAAAAGACTTTAAAGTGTGATGTTTGTGGAAGAGCCTTCAAGAAAAAATGCCAAGTCAAAGAGCATCGCAAAATCCACACAGGAGAGAAACCGCATTCCTGTAAAATATGTCAGAGAAGCTTTACTCAAAAGAGCACCATGCTGCGCCACATGATAATCCACACTAAGGAGAAGTCGTACTCCTGCCTGACGTGTGGAAAGACCTTCAGTCAGAGCGGGAATCTGTACGTCCACATGAGGATCCACACAGGCGAGAAGCCGTATTCCTGTAAAACATGCGGGAAAACGTTCGCACGGAGCAATCACATGTTACGCCACATGAAGACTCACACGGGGGAGAAGTCGTAGTCCGGAACTTTCCAAGCTGGAAAACCACCAAGAATGCATTCAGGTCCAAACACACTTTTTAGACTCAGTTTGTTGGAGTCGCTCGGTGTGAGGTTGGTCACATGATCAGTTTGACTTGGGGGAGGCGTGCTCATGTATTAATTTACTTTTCTTCTTCTAGAAAACATCACGTCGAGTCTTGGAACACTAAGTTAGTATGAATGAGAGGTGGTGAGTTGTGATATGATGAAGAGATGGAAGTGAAGCTGTTCTTCTGAGAGGTGACTGTGCAGCTGTGCTGACGTTTCACTGATGTTCGACACGCAGCTGTTTAAACGTTGATCTGAGGAGCTTTGAAAGGAAACCTTTGGACGTCTTTAAGTTGCCTTGAAGACGTTTAATCCGAGAAGCTTTTTCAGTTCTAAGAGCAACTGGTGGAGAGTCACGGATTTAAGCCCTACAGGACAAGACTCATCAGTACACCTGCAGCTAAAGGTCAAAGGTCACTCTCTGAGGATGCCAATGTTCACATTTTGGACAGAGAGGACAGAGGGCGGGGCTTACCACACCAACTGTCTGCCATCTATAATCCAGTTTTGAGATCCCTCCCCAGATGCCTTAACGCCCACTCACTTCCTGGGCCATCTGACCTCAGGAAGTCACATGATAAGGTGGGGCCTGGCTGATTGGGACCCACACCCGCTTTCACGCCATGGCCCATGTGATTAGGTGGACTATCATCAGGGGGTCATTGTCCCTCTTGGGGGGAAACTCCCACTGGGCTTCTCGGATGAAACGTCTTAAAGGCGTCCCGGCGCTTTTCTTAGACTGGGATGACCTGGATGACCGAGAACCTTCAGACATGTTGAAACACTCGTGGCTTTAATTCATGTTACTGGGTTTGACGAGTGTGACCAGTTGGTGACCTGAAGGGTTCATGCAGGGCTGTTCTAACATTTCCTCAACTGCAGAAACTCGAGCTGAGCTGAAATTTTAGTTGACTGAAGTAAAAATGAAAACTTGTTTAGAGGAAATAGACCGCACAGTGAAAGCTAAATAACGTGTCACTGAATACATAACTGCAGTTTTATTGGAGTGATGAGAGGCGGCTGAGCTGCTCCCGCCTCCTCGGGCAGCGGCGCGCGCCACGTTGCCCAGGTGGTCTCCAAGGAAACCAACTTTCATGAGAAAATGAAACGGGCTGAGGTGACCTTCGATATTTCAGTGATATTTGAAAAAGGAGAGGGCGCACCCCCCTGACTGTGACTGAGCACGGTCAGCAGGGACTGAAGCGCCGCCTCGTGGCTCTCCACCATCGCCACGGCGATCGGGGACCTGCAGGCTCAGACAGATTATAGATGATAACCTCGCAGCTGTTTCACACTCTGTTTTCTATAAAAGCTGTTTTGTAGGATTTCTTTGAGACTCTGGAAGAAAACATGTTTGACGTCTCTGCTTCAGTAGAATCAGAGGCAACAGTGTAAATATGAGAAAGATGCAGCTCTGATCTTCCGCCTGCATCACACTCGAGGTTTTCTTCTTTACCTCCATCACTCTGTTTGCACCTGAATGTTTAGTGGAAGATGTTTGGTTTGTGTCCTCAGTGATTTTTGTATTGAACTCAGATGTTGAAGTTTGTGTTTCAAGCATGCTTTGTTTTGTGTTCACATCTTTTTAAACGTTTCCGTCTTTAGAGCTGACACTAACGAACTGTACGAGCTGTTTGACGTGTCGATGTGAACGGATCGTTATAAAGTTTCCTTCCACAGCAGCTCTGTCTCTGTCTCTGATCTTTACTGCTTCATTTCTCTGTTGTCTTTGTCATCAGTCCAATGACACAAGAATCAGAGGTTTAACAGTGTGTGGCTCCCTCTAGTGGATGTTGTGGAGTATTCTGTTGTCTTTGCTCCAAAGGTTTTTGTACAGAGTTTTGCTGTTTCCTGTCACTGTGGGCTGCAGAGCACAGTAGTACACAGCAGAGTCAGACAGCTGAAGCTTCTGGATCTTCAGAGGAACTGACTTTTGCTTCTCATTGATTTTTGCATCAAATCTGTTGTTGTTGAATTCCTCCGTTTTAATTATTGATGTTGAGACGCAGTGCAGCATGTACTTTGGGTAACTGTTCACTTCTTGCTTGTACCAGATCAGTGTAGGATTTGTGTAACTGGTCTCATATCTACATCCAAGTGTAACTGTGTCTCCTTCAGCAGCAATGACATCTCCTTGTTCCTGGATCACTTTGTCTTCTCCTTTACACTCTGAGGAAGAACAGAACATGCAGAGGAAGAGATGGATCAATAAACAGGATTAAAAACTCACCATTAATCAGACTCACACATTTATTTAAGCAGAGGAAACAGGTTGATGTTTGTATCTCACCAAAGAAAAGAGCAGCAAGAATAATCCACAGCCAATGTTCCATCTGTACAACAAGGTTTAAATCAACAGGAGAAACTAGCTGATGTTCAACATTCAGTCTGAGAATTGTTCTCTTCACAGCAGCACTTATTATTGACACAATGGTTGAACACAGTGCAGAAGGAGAGCCCCGCCTACTGGATGATGTCGCCCTCTGTCTCCTCTTTGAGTCTCACTTCTCTCACTTCCTCTTCCTCCTGGTTCACAGACTGTTAGCAGCAGTTGAATCCCTGTGAGGAGGGAGGATGGAGCACTTACTGTACATCTCTGTCCTCTGCTGCTGTGGACAGTTGACCCGAGGTATTTAAACTCTACCTTCACTTCCTCTGCTCCTTGCAGATTCACCGTCTCTGTCCTCATACATGTCGTCCTCCTGACTCCCTCATGCAGGACCACAGCTCCTCTATCAGCAGCCAATCATCTGCTTTCTCTGATCCACCTTCTCTGAACTTCTCCGTCACCTCCCTTAACCTACAGCAGCTCTTTCCCATATCTTCATGGTGGTTTAACCCTCTGTAGTTACTTCCACTCTTCATCCTCAGCTGCCCTCGCTTCCTCCTTCCTAATCCTCTGCACTTCCTGATTCGTTGACTGTCCTCCATCCATCAATCCTCCTCTTTTATTTTCTACATTCATCAGCTCCTTAAATGCTCCTTCACCTTCTCAGCAGCCTCTCTTCATTCATGAGTACATTTCCACCTGTGTCCTTAAAGCTGCTGCACATCCTTTCCTGTGTTTGCTGCACACCTGTCCTGCCGTTACTCCTGCCTGCTCCTTGTTCTTCCTCATTCTCCTCTTTCCTCTGTCCACGGACACACCAAAGACCTTCCACTCTTTTCTGCTCCAATCTCCACTCTGTCCCACTTACTTCACACTTCCTGTTCTTGTCTTGTCTCCAACCTGTGAGGCGTGCACACTGATAACATTAATCATCTCACAGCCCCACCCCCTTTGGCCAGCAGTAGCACAGTTTCCATGGAGACAGTTGTTGTTATCCTGGGTCAAACGTCTTCCTGATGCAACCCTCCCGGTGTATTCAGGCTTGTGCGCACGAGCTCATTCGTTGTTTCGATCGTCTGCAGAGTTCTTTATATTATCGTTAAATAACCGTAGCTGCCGGTTTGTTTGAGTAATCTGTAAATGAAGCTGCTGCAACCTCAACAAATCACAGTTTAGGCCTCACGGTGCAGCGGGGGATCCTGCAGACTCGACGACCTGTGGCTAGAATGTGCTTTTCATGCAGTATGAAGGGAGGTGTGCTTGTAGTGAAGCTGGAGTTGTACTAGATGTGTTTGGACCTGCTGGAGCAGATGAAGAGCTGCAGCGTGTTCAGCACCAGCTGTTTGTGCGTCTCCTTCCTGACAAGCTTTTTGTGCAGCGACTGTGGCTTTGCTGTCACTGTGGGCCTCGCAGCACGGCAGCTGTTCCTCCCTCAGCTCAGCGAACAGCGCCCGGCTCTTCGTTCTTCATCCACAGCTGTCCTCGCTCAGTCAGCTCAATCGGACTCCTTCTGCACCACCGCCCCCTCCACCCTCACAGTCACACACAAACCTTACAGTTTATTCTGGGCGTCATCAGCAGCAGTGTGTGCAGGTCAGGGGATGGTTTTACAGCAGAACGCTGCAGCAGCTCCTCACGCTCTCCTCTCATCTTTGCACTACAGTCTTTGGCTTTGTCTCCACCTGCTGGACTGAAGCAGCTGGAAAAACAGCCCTCGATCGTATTTTCAATTTTGAAAATGTTTCCTCCGTAATAAAAATGTAGACGAAGCAGATACAGCAGTGAGGGCAGCTGTCACCTGGTGCCTGTTTGGGTGTTTTTGTTCTAGTGACATAAATAAGTGGCTGTTGGGCACCTGTGCGTGGCCCTCTGCTGCACAGCGCTGACACGTGCACTCTGCCACAGTCACGTGCTTCGTCACTTCCTCAATTCGCACACATTTGTTTTAGTGTGTTTAAAAGCAAAGTCCAAAGAAAATATTAATGCAGGGATTTAAAAAATCAGGTTGAGGAGAAAACCTCCGCAGTCCGCATTCATGTGCGCGTCATGTCACCCAGAATCACGCGGTAAAAGCTCGCAATGACTCATTTTCTCTGGAAATGCAGAACGATCGTGGCTGTCTGACGGTGTGTGGGTTCAATGAAGACAAAGCGTCACCTGCAGATCTGTAACTGGCTCCACATTTACCTGCTACCTGAAGTTTGACGTCAAACAGTGGTTGTTGTTTGCTTTAATAAAACGTGTTTGTCTATGAGTCAACTCTGAGCTGAGCTCCTCAGGATCAGCTGGTTTATTTTGTACAGAAACTTGAAACATTTCACGAAGCTAAATCTTCGGAGTCACAGGAGCTCCGATCACTTCATTTTCATCCCGCACGGGTCCAGGAGATCTTCCAGGCAAACATGTTTACTCTGGTAGAAACTGCCACCAAATTAATGTCACCGAGCAGGATATGCTTCCTCCTGTGAGCATCTCACTCGGAGCCAGCTCTGCGCACCTCCAGTGTTCACAGCAGGAAGCTAAACTGCTTTACTACGTCCACCGGAAACGATGCGGCTACAGTTTCTCCAACACGTGATAGAAATGTGCAGGTGAGATGGTGCCACAGGTGAAAACAGGAAATGAGCTCATGGAAGTGTTTTAAATCCACTTTTTAAACCTATAACTCAGATAAATGTGACGTTTTTGTCTCCAGCTGATCCTGCGTCAATTTCCGGTTCCTTCAGGGCGCGGCGCCATTAGCTGTAGGAACAAAGCAGCTCATTGGTCGGCGCGATCAGGTGGTCTCGGCTCAGCCAATCGCAGGCTTTGATGTTGCGCCGTGGACGGCCGGGTGGCGTTCAGCAGGAAGCATTGCTGCTTCGGTTCACGGCGTTTTCCTCGAGTCGTTAACGGCGCCGGAGACTGAAAATCCGCGCGCACGCGAACCCCGAAGAGGTGCGGATTCGTCACCACCGCGCGAGGCTGCCGGAGGAGAGGCCGACCGGACAGCCCACGCGGCCAGTTAGCCGCTAGCCGGCGCTCGGTGTCCGTCAGAGAGGTGAGTGACCGCAGGCCGGCTCCAAAGTTAGCGCGAGAATCAGCTAATTTAGCTTCTTCCGGCTTCTGTAGAAAGAAACACGATCAAAGACGCAATAATGGAGAAACAGCAGACACGGGGGAGGTTTCCGGTCGGTTCGGCAGCACATTAACAACTGACATGAAATACAGGGAGGTAGGACAGGTGGGTCCATCCAGGCTTCAGTCTGACAGCTGTCAGGTTCAAATATATCAGAGCGTTTATCGAGCAGCAAGCATTTCTCTTCATCATCATCATCATCGAGGCTCCTCTAAGGAAGATGTTCCTGTGTCTGTTCATGAAGCTTTAGATCCAACATGAGTTTATCAGCTGGAGGCCGGACACCAGCAGGAAACAGCCCTCCAGCCTCTACAGCCTCTGATGTGCTCTCATTAATATCTCTGCTGAACGCTCTGACGGGTTATGACAGACACCTGCATCCAGCTGCATCTCCGACGAGTCCTCCCACAGATGAGCTTCATCTCCAGCATCCTCTCCACCCACTGCTGCAGAACCAGGACAGCCATCACCGGCTGCAGAGGAGGATGAGAGGAAACGAGAGGGGCCGGGTCGTTTCCAAACAAGAGCGAGGGTCTAAGGCTTACCTCCTGCTGCTGGGACTGTGCTGAGACCAACACCAAGCTTACCTCGCTTAACTACAACTAAACTGAAAACTAGAGTGCGATGTGACAAAGCGTCCAGTTAACGTAGATGTGAAAATGAAGACCAGGTGAACTAGAATAGAAACAGAGGAAACATTGCTAGTTTCTCACAGCTTGGCGGCTTTGATGGGTACAGCTCTGGTTCGTAGTGCAACACCTCCACTGACCTTCCTGAATCGGTCCCACGCCCTCTGTGATAATTAAAAATACTTAATCTGACACAGGGTCTAATAAAAACTGTCTGACTACGGTCCTCGTATCTCCTCACCCCCCGTGCTGCCTCTGATCCTGTGGTCACCAGGTCATGCTGATTACCTTCTGATGTAAAGCTCTTAGAGGCTGTTGTCAGGATGTGAATACAGTGAAATGTGTGTGAGGGAAACACGTTTTCTGTTTCCCGTGATATTCATGGTCTGGGGTTTCTCAGAGGTTGTGAGAGGAAAATAAATGACGTGGAAATGCCTTACTCTGCTCGCCCCTCAGCTGCTTCTTTTATGGGCGAGTGAACGGCAGCAGCCATGACCGCCGAGCCGGACGCGCTGGCCGTGGTCAACCAGCTGAGGGACCTGGCCGCCGACCCCATGAACCGCAGGGCCATCGTCCAGGACCAGGGCTGCCTGCCCGGACTCATCCTGTTCCTGGACCACCCCAACCCTCAGGTGGTCTACTCCGCCCTGCTGGTGAGCTCACAGTCCAGTGGAAACGCATAGACTCTGTCCAATAGAGAGAGGGCGGAGCTTACATGAGGATTTCAGACACCCGGATCAGCTCAGCTTGATGTAACACCTGTTGTGTGCAAAGATCTGCTCCAGGTGTCTGAACCCAAACATCAGAACGAGTTGGAGGCTGCTGGTCGTCGGCGCTGAAACGCCTCGAACAGCAACAGAATCTGTTATTTTAAATCAGACGATATTTGAATAGAGTTTGGTGTGTGAAGCCGTCTCTCTGATTCAGTTTCTGACTCTTTCCGGGTGTCCTTCCAGGCGATCCGTTACCTGGCAGAATGTCGAGCCAACCAGGAGAAGCTGAGGGCGGAGCTGGGGATGATGCTGAGCCTCCAGAACGTCATGCAGAAGTGAGTCTGATGGAGCTGATCCCGGTTTTTGCAAGCACAGTAGCAAAGTGACTTCCTGTTTGCTGTGAGCTCTAAGAAACAAGTTTAGAGGAGAATAAAGGAAGAAGGAATGTCGTGAGTCGCTGCTGATCGTGGCGCTGCTGATCGTGGCGCTTTATCTCGTCGATATCAGTGACGTGTACGTAGAGACCAACCTGCTCACCCGCTCGTACTTGCAGCGCTGCGAGCAGAGCGCTGACGCTCCTGCTGCTGGGAAAACGAGTTTCCACAGCTCTGCTCTTTCCATCCAGGTCGACCACGCCCGGCGAGACGAAGCTGCTGGCGTCTGAGATCTACGAGCTCCTGCAGGCGTCCGGCAGCGCCGACTCCGAACCGGCCGAGGAGCCCGTCAGCAGCCGCCGTAAAGCCCAGTTCTTCCTGGGCTCAAGCAACAAGAGAGCCAAGACCGTCGTCCTCCACATCGACGGCCTGGACGACTCGGTCAGCGCGCCTTTCACTCAGTAATGATTCCCTTGGCGTGGGCGGTGGGAGGAGTCATGAGCGTTTTGTTTTGTGACCCTGCAGAGTCGGAGGAGTATGTGTGAGGAGGCGCTGCTGAAGATCAAAGGCGTGATCAGCTTCACCTTCCAGATGGCCGTGAAGAGGTGCATCGTCCGCATCCGCTCGGACCTGACGGCCGAGGTCAGACCAGACCACGCCCCCTCGTGGTTCTCGCTGTATAATCACGTGATCACAGCTTCCTCCTGAAATCTGCTTTTGTTCCTTTGTTGAAGTTTTTCTGTCATTTTCTGTGAATCAGCTGCTGAAATGTGAGTTTCCGGAGCTCGTCTGTGAATGACTGACGGTGTTTTTGTGTTCAGGCTCTGGCGTCCGCGATCGCCGCCACCGAGGTGATGAAGGCGCTGCAGGTGGTGAAAGGAGAAGACGGAGACGAGGTCAGTTTGGCTCTCAGCTCGTTCGCAGGTCACGCTTGCTCTCGTGCTCGCAGCTTCGTCGTTCGCTCTGACGTTGCACCTAAAAGCACCAGAAGAGAAGGTGGAGCAGTGCTGTCAGCTGTGGGCTTTAAAGAGCTGAGACACTGTGTGACCAGCAGGGGGCAGCAGAGACACACTCACACCTGGTAGTTAGAAATGTGCTCGCTCAGCCGGCTGTCACTGTGGAGTGCCCACTCAGGCCTGCTGCATCAAAGACTTCACGTTACAACATTTCCTGCTCACACAGTAACACCCAGTTTGGACCCACTGTGGGCCTCCCACAGGTGGAGCACCCCTGCTCCACCTGAGCCGGGTTTACTACACCCGGCTGATAACACCATCAAAGTGGGATCAGTGGGAGTGGGTGTAGCTCATGTTTGTGAGCGTGGCAAGATGACGGGCACGAGTTCACTGACAGGAAGACGCACAAAAACCAAGGGGCGGGGTCATGCTTAAAGAAGAGGTGTGCAGCCTATCGCAGCGCGTCTAACGTGTGCGTTCCCGTCCCTGTGTGCAGGTCCTGATCCCGTTCCCGGAGGACGGCTCTGTGGAGGTGGAGCAGAACGTGGACCTGCCGGACTACCTGCCGGAGGAGGAGAGCCCATCTCAGGAGCCCGACAAGGCGGTGAGCCGAGTGGGATCGGGGCAGGACGGAAGCAGCTGGCTCGGAGCCGCCGCCAACTTCCTGTCCCGCTCCTTCTACTGGTGACCGGGCGGAAGGGTCGGCGCTGCACCGCGCCTCCCACCGTCGGACCTTCGTCCTCGTCTCAGAACAAAAACTCACAGCTGCCAAATCAGGATGTTCAGCTGGAGAGACGACGCAAAGTGTGAAATGTTGCCGTGGAAACTGTTTCCTCCTGGGGTCCCACGCTCAGTCTGACCTGCACGTGGCGACGTCCTCTCCATGAACCAGTCCTTGTGTTACAAACCAAAATGTCTTAACAGACAGGAAGTGAACAAACGCCGAGTCAGAACAAACGAGACTCCTCCTCCTTTATACTGTTTATTATTTATTCGCCTTCGTGCCGTTTGACGTGTTGGAGCGGCGGCGAGCCGTGCCTTTCAGTTTCTCTGATAAAAAACTTCCTGCTGCTTCCTTTGGGGCTGCAGAGATCGACCAACACGAGCGAGAGAAGAAGAGCTGGTTAAACACTGCGCCGGGCCGAGCGGAGCGTTTCCTGTAATGTCTGAGTGCGGGCTCGTAACGTGAGCCGCGTGTCGGGGTCAGAGGTGAACGACTGTTCCGCTCATATGTGGCAGATGTGTTAACGTGAGGAAGGACATAACCACAGCTCAGTCAGCTGAGACCCCTCAGGGCTTTGTGCCGCGTGCTGGGGACACGGAGCAGATCATGGCTGCGTCATTAGAGGAGCACGCTTTAACCCTCTGCTGCAGGGTCAGAAGCACAGGTTGGAGCTGCGGGGGTTTGCACAGGTAAAAAAAATGAAGCTGCTGCTCCATCAGTCAGCCCTCGGGGTTTCCACGGGAACCGTCACGTACCTTGGCTAACTTCAGCTATAAAACTCCTGACTCGTGTCCCTGTGGGCAGACAGCTCACAGCTTCACTGAGAGCTCAGAGGACTTCATTTCCTGCTGTCCACTGTTGTGCAAGTTCCACTGACCAATCACGTTTGACCTGTGGTCCTCGTGGAGTGGAAGAACGTGTGGAGACGGCAGCAGTCGTCTGAAAAGAATCCAGCTTTTAAATGTGTTCAGCTGATGAACAGGAGGTGACCTGATGATTCCAGACTCTGTGTGTGTGTGTGTGTGTGTGTGTGTGTGTGTGTGTGTGTGTGTGTGTGTGTCCCGTCCCCACACCCACCCAACCACCTCCAAATCAGGACAGGAACGTTTACAGTTATTCAAACAGGCGGTCCGACATGGTGCCTGGGTCCTTGCTCCGGCTGTGATGAGATGCACGAGCCTTTCTGCACCCATGTCCACCGTCACGCCGCCCGCTGCCGTCACGCCGCCCGCTGCCGTCACGTTTAGTAGAGAGCGTAGGTTTAAAAGCTACAGGCCGATCAGAGAAACTGAAAGGTCACAGGTTTGATTGCCGACCACCGTCGTGTTTATGGAGACATGTTACCTGCTTTTGTTTCACTTCGGAGACCAAAGGGTTGGAATCACCACCTTTTTTTATTAAACATGGTTTAATCTGAGGCTGCTGAGTGTAAACGGCGTGCGTGTTACTCTGTGGACGACGCGGGGAACAGGAGCACGATCCAGTGACCGCTCGCTCCGAGCATCAGGTCCAAGGAGCTTTAACGAGCTCGTTAAAGAATCAAAGCACAGTCGATTGGAGTGAAATTTGCAGAACTTTTGACAGTCTGACATCATTTCCTGTTTCCCCTGAACGCTCGCTCACGCTGTGGTTTCCGCTCAGCGGCCAATCAGAAGCTTCATTGTTGATATTTCAGAGTGAAACAAACTGATTTGATTGGCAGTGGAAGTGACCTTTGACCTCCATATACAGATTTCTGCTGTCGTCTCATTCTGTGTTAATTGTGTACCTGCCAGGTGTGCTCACGACTCCACCCACAGAACGCACGGTCCAATCACATTCAGAGTAGCCTGTTGAATCCAAACGCAGTGTCGGCTGAATTTAAGACAGCAGGTAAACGCATCGATGATGTCATTGGCGTTTCCATGGAAACGCTGTATAAAACGCCCCGTCGTAGAGCCTCCACAGAACGTCGCGCTCCAACCCTCGGGTTCCTGAGGATGTCCCGCTCTGATGGTAACCACGGGACCGCTGAAGCCGCCTCCTCCCGAGGAGGGCGACGCCCCGCCTCCAGGTTCTTGACTGATGTGTTGGGTGACATCACGGTTCTGCCGCCTCGCTAAACGCTCGTGTTAAATTCGAGCTCTGAGCGCTGCGGCGTTTTACAGCGTTATTACAGGTCATGTGACCGAAGCATCTTTAAAACAACACCCAGCGCACATGGGTGAGCTGTTCTCCACCCGTGCGCGCTCTTCTCCACCCGTGCGCGCTCTTCTCCACCCGTGCGCGCTCTTCTCCACCCGTGCGCTCTGCTCTTGTTTCCTCTGCTCAGGTCAAAGTGTGAAGTTTCACATGTGTCAGAAATAAAAGCTTTTCTTCGATGTTGTGTTGACGTCATGTTTTTGTTTTCTTCGCTGAAACTCGTGCATTTTCTTCACCGTGTGCTCATCGTGATGTGTGTTGCCGTAGAAACGGTCTGTGTGGTGACTGCTGAATAAAAACTGGTGAACCTCGCGCTCGCTGTTTGATGTTTCGGATTCGTTGTGTTGTCACTCAGCACTGCTCACACAAAAACACACACAAGCCTCAAATGTCATATACACAGTGGTAAATATCCAAACGGATAAATTATGATCGCACTGAAACGTTTTGTTGACAGATTGTGTAGTAACCTCGAGAGTGGCCGCTGCTTCGTTCAGCAGTCTGATGGCGGTTGGAAAGAGGTTTCCTGTGAGAGCAGGTCGTGGTCGGGCTCTCAACAGATGACGCCGTGGCCCCACTGGTCCTCTCGGCGACCTCGCCACTCTCCTCGGGGCGCACGCGCACAGATGCTGCCCGTCAGCACTGTCAGTGGAGCGTCTGTAGAACGTGCTGAGGACTCAGGTGTGCCTCCTTAAAAAGCAGATGCTGTTGTGCGTCTGTACTTCATGATGTGATTTGTACCAAATATTGAACGTTCAAGAATCAGAATCAGAAAGGGGTTTATTGCCAAATGTTGAGCAGGTTTACAACATTAGGAAATTGCTGCGGTGCTTCAGTGCAAACATAGTGTCATAAATAGCACTTAAATAGACATGGAAAAATAAAAGTAGGGATAAGAATTAAAAGTGCTACGTAGAAAAGGGCTCAAGACTCAGCCCTGAGGCGGCCCGGTGCTCAGCCCTGAGGCGGCCCGGTGCTCAGGAGGATATTGTTATACAGGATATACAGATGTGTTACATTTATACAGATGTCGCAGTGTGAGGTGAACATCTACAGAGTGCTGTGAGTGCATCAGTGGGAGCGTGGCTCTCTGGACTAACAGTGTGGGCAGTGTAACAGAGACTCTGTCAGTAACCAATGTGAGCGTGTGGTGAATGTTGAGAATGAATGACATCATGGTCACTGGGGGGGATAGGGGGGTGTGGATGGAAAGGTTCAGTGGGGTGACAGCTGTGGGGAAGAAGATCTTCCTAAACCTGCTGGTTTTAGTCTGAAGGGTCCTGTAGCGCCTCCTGGAGGGGCGGAGCTGGAAGAGTTTATTGGCAGGATGAGAGGCGTCCCTGAGAATGATGCGTGCTCTGCATAGACATCTCTTCTTGTGGACATCCTCAATGGCAGGAAGTGGAGTCCCTGTGTCCCGCACAAACTGAGGTGTGCTTATCAGGAAGTCATGGATCCAGTTTTGAAGGGGTGGCTTCATCCTGAGTGGGCCCCGTCTGTTTACCAGCTGCTGGGAGATGTGGTGTTACTGCTGAGCTGAGCTGTTCAGGTGCGGTGGATAAAGCATCCTCGGTGGGTAAGGCATCCTCGGTGGGTAAAGCATCCTCGGTGGGTAAAGCATCCTCGGTGGGTAAAGCATCCTCGGTGGGTAAGGCATCCTCGTGGAGCCGATTGAAGAGCTGAGGTGATGTGATCCTTGATCAGTCTCTACCTTATAAAGCATGTAAGTGCTACAGGTCGAAGGTCATTGCCTGAGCTGACTGAGGGTTTCTGTGGCACCGGGAGGACGGCCGACCGGCTTGAATATACCTGTGAAGATGTGAGTGGGCTGATCTTCTCCACTCCACCGTTTCAGGGTTCACAGATTTCACAATGTGATTTTCTGTGGTTACGATCCAGAAACACAAAAGTCTGCCTGAGTTTGTCACTGTTCCTGTTTCCACACCTGCTGTGGGCCAGTCACCTGGAAAACATGCCCATGCAGGGCTTTCCCACAGAAAACATGAATAAGGACCCAGAGGAGCAAAGCTGCCGTGGGGGAGTGTGGGCACACCCACCTGGGTCCTCTGTGGGATTGGTGTGGGTTGCCGTCTGTGGGCCTGCACAGGCATGTTTGCTGGCACATGGTTTATAATCAGGCAATAACAGGGAAGCATGTCTGCTGTGGAGATGATGAAACACAGAACAGGTCTTATTACAATATCAGGTGTGAGGCAGAGGAAGGACTGATCCAACACCTCCATGAAAGGAGAAAAGGAAGGAAGGGAGGAAGGGAGGAAGGGCATGTCTTCAGGCCAGGTTCCATTTTCTGAATCAGAATAACCTGTTTGGTGCGAACATTTTGGTTTTTTTCATTCTGATTAGTGATGACTTGTCTCACTGAAGCAAAGATCTCTGCTTAGGGTGTGGGAGGAGGCATGAACGCCGGGGGAATGTCAGGAAAAATCAGCTCTGGATGAGGGAGCAGAGCCCACTGTGGGCCCAGTACTGGTGTGAGGCGTGGGGTTGGTTTGCTGTGCTCCAAATGTAAGAAGGATCCAAAAGTGAGAAGAGGCAAATGAGACGAGTCGACACGTCTCTGCCTGCAGGTCGTCGGCGCCGCCTGCAGTGGGCTCAGAGAGGGGCGGCGGCTTCTCTGAGTGTTCTGGCTCAATGCGGCTTTGACTCGTCCGCTGAGAGGAGGCTTTTGTTAAGCTCTGTGCAGAAAAAGAAAAGCTGCTGTTGTTCGTGCTGCTGAAAGGTTACTGCAGTTCACGCAGAGGAGGCCATTGCTCCACAGCGAAGTGTGAGGCCCGGCCGTGCTGCGTCCAAAAACACGAGCGCGATGAGCTCACACAGAGTTACACAATCGTAAACACCACACATGCTGTGGACAGCTCAGAGGCACAGACGCAGCAGCAGCAGGCGAGAGGATCGGCGAGGGTCGCCGTCCTGGTATCTTTGGCTCGTTGAACTCGACTCTTTCTGAACCGCGTCCAAATCGTTCATCAGCAATCTGAATGCATTTTAAAGTTTGTCAGCCAGCACTGAATGTTCTGCAGCACACAACACGCTCCTCTTACTGTCCTAAAATAATCTCACTGCTCACCCTGACACGAGCCTGCAGAGAGTCTTTTGTGGGATATTTCCACTCAGCTGAAGTGTTCACCGTGTCTCATCTGGAAATCTGTTTTTACCAGCAGCGTGCAAACCTCTGCTGCTGCACTGCCTGCGTTTGCTTTCCCTTCAGTGAGCGTGTCGTCCTCTGAGAACAGCAGAGAACAGTATCTCCTGCAGTCTCACCTGCACATTCAAATAAACATGCAGCTGTTATCCAGCGGTCCCATCGTAAACAATGAACTCAGCTCCTGATGGGTTGATGGGCAGCATTCACTGTGAGGGAGAGACTAACATGCCGACTGCGGGACCGGCTGCTGCAGTTATTGTGAAAGTTTATCAGCTGTATTTACAAATATTTGTCATAACTTCATGAGTGCATATCATTTGTGTTATTTCTGGTAAATGACCCTCAGCACTCCGTGTGCTTTCGTTTATTTTCCAGCAGAGATTTTGGGCCTGATGCCCACAGCGTCAAACAAACACTGAGTTTATCGTACACTGTGGGGTCTAAGTGCCATGAGAGTACTGCAGCGCTCCAATCTCACTTCAGTTTGATTTACTTAGCATTAACTGCTGTCTCAAGGTGCTTAATATTGTAAGGTGCAGACCCTACAGTAATACGCTGGTCACTTTATTAGGTACACCTTGCTAGTGTCAGGGTGAAGCTCAGAGCTGTTTCATTCTTCATGGCTCAGATGTTCCTCACAGATTTTGGTCCCTGTTGACATGATATCATCACGACATCATGACACAGCTGGTGCATCCTTGATGCAACTCTCCCGTTCCCCCACATCCCAAACGGCTCTGCAGGACTGAGATCTGTGGTTGCGGAGGCCGTCTGAGTGCAGTGAACTCACCATCCTGTTTAATTCGAGCTTCAGAAGAAGCTCCAATCAGCAGCAGCCTGAACACTGAAACAGGCCATCCGAGGCTCCTCAGACCAGGAAGCGCTTTCCCACCTTGTGTTGTCCAGTTGTGCGAGTCTGTGTGAGCTGTAGCCTCAGGTTCCTGTTCTCACTGACAGCAGTGACACTGACGTGGTCTCCTGCTGCTGTAGCCTGCCTGCTTCAAGGCTCAGAGATGCTCTTCTGCAGATCGTGGTCATAACCCATAACCCCTTATTTCAGTGCCCATTCCCTTCCTAGAGGTTGGAGAGTCCCAGCTGCACAACGGGCAGAACAAAAGGAGGTTTGGAGGTTTGCTGGTGGAGCTTTACTGGTGGAGGTTTGCTGGTGGAGCTTTACTGTTGGAGGTTTGCTGGTGGAGGTTGACAATCCATGAATTAGTATCTGGTGGAGCTTTGCTGGTGGAGCTTTACTGTTGGAGGTTTGCTGTTGGAGGTTACTGGTTGGAGGTTTGCTGGTGGAGGTTTGCTGGTGGAGCTTTACTGGTGGAGGTTTGCTGGTGGAGCTTTACTGTTGGAGGTTTGCTGGTGGAGCTTTACTGTGTGGAGGTTTGCTGGTGGAGCTTTACTGTTGGAGGTTTGCTGGTGGAGCTTTACTGTTGGAGGTTTCTGGTGGAGCGTTTACTGTGTGGAGGTTTGCTGGTGGAGCTTTACTGGAGCTTTACTGGTGGAGGTTTGCTGGTGGAGCTTTACTGTTGGAGGTTTGCTGGTGGAGTTTACTGTTGGAGGTTTACTGGTGGAGGTTTTCTGGTGGAGGTTTACTGTTGGAGGTTTCTGGTGGATTTCTGGTGGAGGTTTGCTGGTGGAGCTTTACTGTTGGAGGTTTGCTGGTGGAGCTTTACTGTTGGAGGTTTGCTGGTGGAGCTTTACTGTGTGGAGGTTTGCTGGTGGAGGTTTGTGCTGGTGGAGCTTTACTGGTGGAGGTTTGCTGGTGGAGCTTTACTGTTGGAGGTTTGCTGGTGGAGGTTCTGGTGTTACTGTTGGAGGTTTCTGGTGGAGCTTTACTGGTGGAGTTTGCTGGTGGAGGTTTGCTGGTGGAGCTTACTGTTGGAGGTTTACTGGTGGAGGTTTGCTGGTGGAGCTTTACTGTTGGAGGTTTAGCTGGTGGAGGTTTGCTGGTGGAGCTTTACTGTTGGAGGTTTGCTGGTGGAGGTTTACTGGTGGAGGTTTGCTGGTGGAGGTTTCTGGTGGAGGTTTCTGGTGGAGGTTTACTGGTGGAGGTTTCTGTGTGGAGGTTTACTGTGTGGAGGTTTTGCTGGTGGAGCTTTACTGTTGGAGGTTTGCTGGTGGAGCTTTACTGTTGGAGGTTTGCTGGTGGAGGTTTGCTGGTGGAGCTTTACTGGTGGAGGTTTGCTGGTGGAGTTTTGCTGTGTTTAGGTTTACTGGTGGAGGTTTGCTGGTGGAGGTTTGCTGCCGGTGCTAGAAAAGCTGCAGTGTGTCCTTGGACTGCGGCCTCCCTTTGAAAGCCTGTGTGCTGAAACATGCTGGACGTTTAGGTTAAATGAAACCATGAAGATGAAGTTTTCCTTTATAGATCAAAGGGTGTTTTGGTAAATTGACTGGTTTTTATCACTTCATGCCTCATTCACATGAGCACTTCTTCATCTGTGCTTGAGTGTTTTCGGACATTCGAGGATTCAGATATCCCAGGAATCGAGCTACCAACCTTCTGATTGGCAGATTCCTGCTCTGCCGCCGGGGCTACAGCCACACTGACCCGCTTTCTTTGCTTGAACCTCAATAAAAAAAAAGCTGCTGTGAAAATGCAGCCAACTGCTGATGAAGAGCACTGTCTGGCTCCTTTTTAAAGATGAGGAGTGGCGCGAGACTTTTGCACAGTACTGCAGGGTGGGGCTAAAGTATTGACAGGTCAGAGGGAGGATGTGAGAGTAACGGACGCGGGTGTTTAATCATCCAGTTTCCTCCTCTGAGCGTTCGAGCTGCGATCGAGCGTACAGTCACACAGACTTCTTTATTCACAGGACTTTGTTGACTTTAAGCCTTCAGCCTGAAAGTCTGTGACGCCGAGCAAACGCTGACTCATCAAAGACTCATTCCAGCCGAGAACCTGAGCAGCAGCTTCCTGTGACGGTGTCACGGTTCTGGGTCGTTTCTTGTGTTTCGGTTTGTTTTCTGATGCTCGTGTGCTCTGCTGGTTCTGTTTCTGGTTTTTGTGTTTAAGGATTTGTTCTTCGGTTGTGTCTCATGTTTAGCATAGTTTGAGGTCCATGTGTTATATTCTGTCTGCCTCTCAGTGTCGAGTCTGCGTCCTTGTGTGATGGTTTCTTGTTTCCTGTTTTATTGTGAAAGTCCGTGTCTTATGTGTGTATTCAGTTTGCCTTCCTTGTCTCGTCTTGTCAGTTACTTGCAGCTGTGTTCCCGACCTGTGTGTAATGTCCCTGTTCTCTGAGTGTATTTAAGCCGTGTCTTCTGTTGTTGTAGGCGTTGGGCTGTCTGTGTATCTGCTGTGTGGTTTCCCTGCTGGCACCATCATGTACCTTTGTGTGTATGTTTGCTGTTCAATAGTTTAGTTTGTCTCAGTACAGATTAGTTTTGTTCCGTTTTGCCATTTCCACTTTTGTTCTACAATAAACCACATTCAATGAGTGCCTGCAATTGGATCCTCGTTCATTTCCTGACACAGTGTCATGATTCATCGTCCTCACATAGTTAACGATGACTGTGCTGAGAGCCACACGAAGACATCAGTGACGTCTTTTCAGTGTAATCCAATTTTGTGGAAGTCAACGTGAAGCTCGGAGCCATTAATGAGAACCAGACGGCTGCTTTCCCAACAAGAGCCGGCCTCCTGCGGGAACGCTCGGATTACATCAGATGTGATGTTGAAGCTCACAGAGTTTTTTTCTCACACTGTTGCTCAAGCAGAGAGCTGAAGTCCTGCATCTATTCAGTGAGTCCTGACAGAGCTCCAGCCCCACGACGTTTAACGCATCTCAATAAACGCCTGATGAGGCTCCAACTGGAGACCTCAGCCCGCCTCTGAGCGTAACGGTTTCAGAAAGAATAGAAGATGCTTCACAGAAAAACATCTGGGAGGTCGCTTTCCAACAAATCCTAACATCAAGGAATGTTGTGTCGTGGTTATGTCCATCTTTTATATACAGTCTTCAGAAAAATGCAGCACAAAGCACTGGCTACACATTAAACTCCTTCTGACCTCCATACAAGCGTTTCTGTTTCAACAATAACCGAACAAATTGAAAACCGTTGCTAAGAGTATTTGGGCTTTTATTTTGAAGGCTGAACAGCTGTAACTTCCTGCACATTGATGGCACAGGAGGAAACGTCCTCTTTTCTTATGCTCTCCTTTCTCACAACCCAACCCTGATCCGGGTTCTTAACTTCCTGTTGGAAGGGAGTTTTTCCTTCCTGCTGTCGCCTCGTGTGGGTCCACAGGGGTCATCCCTCTAACACTGCAGGCTGTTGGCTGCACATACACGTGCACTGAACTCAACCCGCTGCTCGCACACTTTCACTCAGCAGAATCAGGTCAGACAATCACAGCGTGAACCCCGATCCCAGCCCAGAGGCCCGGCGAGCCGAGGGTTTGAGTCCGTGCGCCCACGCTCGCACTGTGTGTTTCTGCAGGTCATCGCTGACGTGCTGTAACTTAACAGACATATTCTGGATCTGTTGTGAAGCAGCTGTGGGACAGTTTGTCCGCGTGAGGACGAGCACATCTAGTGCAGAACTCGGCGTTCGCCTCCAAAATAAAAGCCGTGCAGAGCAGAAGAAAGAAATGTTGGTGTAATCAGAGGATATGCAACGTGAGTTTACAGGTAACGGTCTCTGCACAGGACCAGCGTGACATGACTGCTTGTGTTTGTGCTGGCAGCTTCACACAGGCTCTTATCAGCATTTTCACTAATGTGAGTTAAGCTTCCACGTCGGGTTTCACTCATGTGTCAACACAATGTCTGGAATTTTATCGATTTCCCACTAACTGTTATTGTCTTTGTGTTTCATTAACGCTGATAGACAAACATGTGCTGCTTGTGGCCACGGCTCACTTACAGACCTGACCCTGGTTAGACGACAAAAAGATCAAAGAAAATAAAACGATAATAACAGAAACATTTAAGAACAGCTGTTTCACTGATCGTTAATGTTTTTATTTCAGGTGGCAAAGTTCCTGATCTGTAAAGAGGAGCGGCCAATCTCCAAACACATCAGCCGCTGATGCCAGAGACACGTTAAAGCGTGTTTCTGTCTCAGAAATGTTTGAGCAATGTCTCTTTACACAAGCCGGCATTGGTCACCCATCACGCTGGGATGCCTTCACTTTCATATTGAGATGATTTCTTTCCACACTCGTCGCTGACAGACTTGGTGGGAAACAGTCGAGATGAGAATGTCTAAAGTGAATGTTCAGAGACATTCAGCATCGGCGCTCTGCTCCTGATTCAGTTTCCTTCTGGAGTGATCGTCGAGCATCAGTTCAGGACCAACAAAAGCCTGCCTTCAGTTTGGCTTCACAGACTTAAAAGCTGAAACCTGTTCGGTCATCCAGGCTGTCCAATACTGAGACGCTCCAAACTAAAAAACAGGGAACAGTGTCCAGATTTAGAGTCAACAGGTGAAATCTGTGAGCGAATCCCAGCGGCAAAGTTCACTGCAGAAACATGTTCCAACAAAGTTCTTCCTGTTAAAAGGAAATTCTTCTCTAAGTGTTCGTTGTGCATCGTCTGATTGGTGGTTTCTCTCTAATGTCAGAATTTCTCAGTCTGTAGAGCTCAAAACTTGATTTTGGGGAATAAATGTAATTTTTGTCTCCAGCTGAGGAGATTTTGGACTTCTGCAACTTCCCTTTAACCTCTTAAGCCCCAACTGCAGTCTCTCTTTTGTGCCCTGCAAAAACACGTCCTCCTGTTGATACTCGGTGCAGCAGTTTCATGAAGTCGTGGCCTTTGTTCTTCTCCGCTGCCGGGTGGAGCACAGCTTGCGTGTCTGGCAGGCAGAAGGTACACAGCAGGGACTCGCTGCTTCCTCTGTGAGTGGACTTTGACTCTGTGAGTGTGCACTGAGCAGGTTTACACTTACATTATGTCACGCTGCAGAACCAGAGCAGCACCTCAGCTCGTGTTCTGTCTCCTTCCTGTTCCTAGATAGTAGTTTTCATGTCAGCACAACACACACGCACACACTCGGCTGTTTGCAGTGCTTGTTTCCTAGGCTTTCAGGAGAAGCGGTGTTTCATCAGGTACACGGCAGTGCTTCATACAGAGACAGAAAAGCCAAGAATGTACCTCCAGATATCTGGTTTCGATTGGCTCGGCCTGCTTCCTGTTACAGTCTGCCCGAGCACACAGACTCACAGAACACTTAAAATGATTGTTTTTGGTTTTTATGTCACAAGTATTCTTATTGCACTTCAGCTAATTTTACAGGAACTTCTTTGACTGTTACCGATCATCAGTAACACTGTGGCGCTTTCCCCGGCTGAGAAGCATCACTTCATGACTTCATCACTCGGCCGTCTGACTTCTGCATGACTTTAAAGCCTTTCCTGGATTAACTGTGTGGAAAAACAAAACCTGCTGAGTCTGCAAATCCAAAGTTTGGTTAATAATGGATGCTGTTGTTCTCTTAGCTGGTCTCTGCCACAAACAAACTCTCATTTAAATGAATCGACAGATTTTATTGTTTCAACCATGTACAGTACAGAGTGAAGTGAGACAGCGTTCCTCCGAGACCCTGGTGCTACTACATGTAACACACAAACACAAAAGTGCAATGTGCAAACAAATGCACAAATAAACAAGATAAGACAGAACAGGACGACACACAACACAGTGCTCTGCAGTGCTGTGACAGCCATGAAACTCGCTTTACTTCCCAGAGACGTTTTTATTAGGTCAGGTATATTTTGGTCTCATGAAAGGAAACACCCTGATCTGCCTTCATCCCTTCATCAGACACGGTGATGTGATTAGAGAGAAAGCTGCCTGAGCTCTTTTCACGGTCCCTAACAGTGTTGGTGGTCTTCGTTTTCACAGGCGTGGACTGCAACTGTCCCAGCTGACAGCGAGCTTCCACTCCAACCCCACATCCATGAAGAACACGCACTCAGTGAAGGAGATTTGAGTCTTCGCGGCCTCGTTTTTATCTTTGTTCTTATAACTTTGTATTCTGTGTGTCACATGTGGCATCCATATGATCGATAAAAACAAACTGAAGTTGGTGTGTTTTATTTTGAAAGCTTCCGGTGATGTGTGCGTGTATATGTGTGTGTGCGCGCTCCCGCAGAGTAGCGCGCCGGTGTGAGTCCCGGAGAGAGGTAGGATCATGTCCCCGCTGCTGCTGCTGGTGCTCGGCCTTCTCCTGCCGCTGCTCCTGCTGGTCCTGCGCGGCAGGACGAGGTGAGTCCGCCCGCATCTCTGTCCGGCCCGGCTCGGCCCGGCTCGGCTCTGATTTTTCGTGTCTGTGTTGATGAGAAAAGTTGTTGCACGCGGAGCTCCTGATTGGCTCTGAAACGTGTCGGTGATTATCGGCATTGTAACATTTTTCATGAACGATGTTTCCGTGTTTGTTCTGTAGTTTTGACCCGGGTCACGTTCACTGCTAGTCCGACTGTAATGTTTCCCAGCAGCGAAGCAAAGGGTGGGGTAGCCTGGGGTCACTGCGGGACGGAAGTGCTCGTTGTCCCGTTCCAGACTCGGGCACATGATGGAAGTGTGTTGAGATCGATGCTGCCACGGGAAGTGGAAGAAGATCAACACGCACACGAAAGGAAACAAAGAGATGGAGGATGAGGTCACTGAGTGAGAGACGACCAGAGGTCAAAGTGGGGAGAAGCTCAGACTCACGCACAGACCCGGTGCATCACAGAGACGCTACAGGAGCTGCGCTGAAGTCTTAGTTTGAGTCTTAGAGGCAGCTTCAGATGGATGGTGACCTGCCCCTACCCCAGTATCGCAGGCTGGTCAGCCGTGAATCTCCTCAAAACCTCCTCCTCAGGACAACTGTAGCTGAAGGAGAGGCTTCTGCTCCCCTCGGGAGACTCCGGGTCTGATGAAGAGCCCAGAACTCGTGCAGAAGGACTTCAGGTCTGTCAGCACTGAGCTTTCGGGTATCGAGCTTCATCTCGATGATCCTCGGGTGACAGACTCATCGATAAGATGAATGAAGCAGATCAGAGAGACGATCAGTGCAAAAGAAAAATACAGGCAGCAAATCAGTGAAAGTTAATGAACCACAGAAGAGCAAAACAATCAGCTGAGGTGGAGAAACCCGAGGGCCGCAAAACTCCTGCAGTGAGGGTGTGAGGACCTGTCAGCATTACCATAGGGGCAAACCGTCATCGCCCTGCAGAGGGGAAATCGGTCCAGCGTGGTCATCCCAGTTACTAATGGCAGGAACTAGGGGTGGGGGGAAAATCGATACTGTGTAGCATCGTGATATTTTGTTTGCTAATAATGTATCGATACAGGGACGGCAGAAATCGATATTTTGTTACAAAAAAGGTTTTTGTGCTCTGACTTCAGAGCATGTTGATCCTTTTTCTGAGCAACAATCCTGACACTGTCCAAATGTGTTTAACTTGTTTTATGGCAGCAATAAACATGACAGTTTACTTATTTTAATTTAAGACATGTTTTATTTTAATTAAGTTTAAAACTTTTTTATTTAATGTAAAATTATATTTTGTTTTAATTTACTTTCAAATTCTTCAGTTGCTGAATGGGCTGCATAGTTTTCATATTGCATAGTTCAGAATAGCTATAATTGTACCAGATGGCTTCAGTTAAGTTGGACTAGACTGTAATACAAACCGTTCAGTTTGTCAACAATAAAACTGAAATGAGAGAAAGACTGAGTGCGAGACTTTGATATTAGATAAAATCAATATTGATAAAGTTTACCTTTATGTACAGAATCTGAATATCGCAAAATATTTTTAAAAATTGCAATAATATTGTATCGTGCGTTAAGTATTGTGATAATATCGTATCGTGGGATGTATGGTGATTCCCACCTCCAGCAGGAACCATGACATCACCCTCATCCTTCGCGCCGCGCCGGGCGACTGCAGCGAGTTACAGCTGTTTGCCCTGTAGACGGCGATCACTGGTTAAGTAAGTTGACTCCTGCCGCTGGAGGGAAGGAGCGTACGGTGAGGGGAGAAATGCAACTGTGATTTATGGGAGCCACCTGTTTCAGCTGACCCCAGATCAGCAGGTGAGACGGCTGCTTTTTCCAAAGATGAGAATGAAATGGGATGCATCCCGTCTCTGACGCAGCGTGACGTCATCCCATCCCTCCTGCTCAACACATGCTCAGCGTCCTGAGCAAGAGCGCATGGTTCTCAGCGCTGGTGCAAGGCGGACCATCATGGAGGACAGCAGCACGCCACTCACAGCCTTTATCACACGTTTTGGGAGCGGCTGGCTTCCCTTCGGCTTGTGCTCGGCTCCAGCGCAGTATAGACGAATGCTTTTGCAGGTGGGACAGGTGAGATCTCTGAGCCACGTTTGGATGAATTTGGACGGCACCGAATCATTCGAGGAGCATCTGATTGATGCACCTGGTGTGAAGCTGACTCCAGAACAGTGTGGGGTGTTTGAAGACGCCCTCGGCTCACGAGTGACGTCGTTCACTCAGCGTTTGAAGCGAGCGGCTAACCCTGATAATCCTGAAGCATCGACAGAAACTCTGAAGGCAGATTTCTCTGGTTTCTTTCTTCTCGCAGCAGATTTGTGGTTGCACATCCAGAGTTTCCGAGCATTTTGAACGACTGTAAGGATTTAAATGCTCAGGCTTCAAACTCTGCTGTTCCAGGACAGTGCCTCCTCAGACTGCACGCTCCGTCCAGCTCTGTCCTGTTCTGGATCCTTATGCTGGATTCCCACAGCTGAGTGGGAGCGCTGATGTCCATCTGGTGGGATGTTCCAAATATTTCTGTCTTGCATTCTTGAACTCTTGTCCCCGCGGTCGTTCTCAGAGCGCCGATCGCCTCCACGTCTTGGTCTCTGACACACTCGGCGTCTCACAGCGGACACTCGGTGTCTGGACCGACACACAGCGCGTCATTCCTCAGTTTCCACACTTTGCAGTCTGACACAGCTGCTGCAGGTTCATCTAAACTGAGCACATGAAACGGGACGATGTCTCTGAAATATCAGTAACCCGGCTTCACGGGTTTCACCTGGATGAGACGGACGGTGTGGTCATGTGGCACAGCGTGGGATAGAAAGGCACGCAGGGATCTCTCTGCAGGGAGTGACTGGAGGTGGGAGGCTGATGTTTGAGCGTGTGCAGACACGGCTTCGTTAGGTTTGGCCGCACGTTAGTGCACACACACCGGCTGTTGGTCAGGTGACTCGTTCTGCAGATGCACTCATACTTTACACCCAACCAGCTACCGGGAGAGACTCACACCCGGCTCTCTGGTCTGATTCAGATATCTGTTGTGTTTTAACCTCGTTGTGAAGCACTTTAGTGTACCTTTGGTTTTAAATGTGCGATAGAAATAAAGTTGTTTTGTATTCAGATGACGTAATGAGAGCAGATTAACTGATGGTGTCGGCGTGTCGGCGATGTTTTGCTGTCTGGCCCCAATGAAAGGCTTCCTGTCTGTGTTTGAAGAGAACTGGGCCGCCTCCAGGGTGTCCCGTGACCTTTTGCTCCCAGGAGGAAGTTCCTCTCAGTGTGAGGCACAAAGACTGGAAGTGCAGGGGAACACCGAGCAGCTCAGGAGGAAACTCACAGCGAGAACCTCAGATTGGTTAAAGGGTGGAACGTTTCCAGCCGCTGCGCATGAATGCGGCGCAGTAATGACCCTGCTGCTCGGTCCTTTGTACAAGTTGTTTTCTCGAGGCAGTGAGGTGCCCTTCAGCTCGGACCCGGCAGGGCCGCGTTTCTCTTTGTTCCCCCGGAGTCACGATTCCTCTCACGGCCCGTGGGAGTCGTGCAGAGTCTTAGTTTCACTCCTTGGTTACGTTTAAAGACATCTCTTTACATCTCGTTACTTTCTGCCTTTGTGTGCGTCCTTTTTTACCTGAAGGTCAGGTGAAGGTGATTAAGACAGATGTAAATGTAGGAATGAGTGAAGGAAAGCCTCGGGTTTGTGGACGTAGCGAAGGAGGACATGCAGTGACAGAGGAGGACGCTGGGACAGAAGATGTGACTCCTGGAGGGAGCAGCTCGGAGAGAAAGGCCTCACTTTGCATCGCTTTCAGAAATGCTGTGTTTGTGTTGCACTTCTCTGGGGTCACGTTGTGTGTGCTTGTTTGTGTACACGAGTCCATCAGTAGTGTGAACACAGAGCATCACTGTGACCGACGACTGCTTCGAGGTGATCCGGCTGCAAACGCTGGCAGAGAGCTGAAGTCACTCTGTGTCCTCGTCCCTCGTTAATTCAGGGTTTCGTTCCCTGTTTGCTAATTATGCAGAACATCGGAGGCTTGTTGAGGCATGAACCCTGTAAATGTGACGCTTGTTGTGATAGTTTGTTTCCTGCTGTGTTATCAAACTGAATCTTTCTGTCCAAACGTGGAGCTGGGTGGAGTGTTTCTGGCTTTCTGCACTCGCAGCTCGTTTAGGGTTTGTAACTCGGATCAAAGTGGAGACTCGGCGCTTAAACCGTTGATGTTAGGTCAGGAAGTCGAGCTCAGATTGTGACTGGGCCGGACGCGTTTTCGTGTTTCCTGAGAAATGCCTTCACGACATTCGGGCTTCCACGGCAGAGCTCTGGGTAAACACCGGACTGCTCAGGATTACGGCCATTAATCCAGGGAATGGGGCACAGTGCACACACGGGCTGATGCAGCATGTTAGGCTCCTTGCATTAAATCAAACTGCACTGACTGATTCACTGTTTAAAAGCAAGTTTACATGTGAGCTGACCGAACAGCAGCGAGCCGATAGAAAACAGATCCTGAAGCTCACAGCAGGCATACGTCTGTTTAATAACCGCAGCAGACTCTGAAGGTGTGTTTTATAGGAGCGAGTGTTTTTCTGCCTGAGGTTACCCTTTATTACAGTTTCACAATCTCAGTGAACAGGAACACCTGAGCCTCCGTCCACAGGAGGATTCAAAGTTCAGATCAGACACGCTGTGTGCCGCCAGATAAACTGTTTGATGTCAAACTCACAGAGGTGAAATGATGTGGTTTCTCTTGTGTGTCGCTTGCAGACGAGAAGATGAGCCCCCTTTAATAAAAGGCTGGATTCCTTTCATTGGAAAAGCTCTGGAGTTTGGGAAAGATGCCCACAAATTTCTGAAAGAACATAAGAGGAAGTTTGGAGATGTGTTTACCGTCCAGATAGCAGGTTGGTATTTCCAGCGTCCCTACCAGCCCCATTAAAGAGAGACGGCCTGTCTGCACGTTAGCAGCACAAACTCGTTAAAACAGTCCAGGGCTGCACTTCAGTCATTCATAAAAATCAAAATCCTGTAAATTATACAAGTGTGACGCACAGATTATTACGGAGCAGGTGACCGGGTGAGCCTGTGTCCATCTTTGCTTTTGACTAGGGCTGCCACGATTACGTCGACTAGTCACGATTACGTCGACTATCAAAATCGTCGACGACTGATTTAATAGTCGACGCGTCGTTTGAAGCTTTGTAAGATCCCAAAAGACGCAGGAATAA